CAAAACAAATACTGCACTAGGACAGGACTGTCCTGTCCTACCGCGGATTTCTTGCATGTCAAAACAAATACTGCACTAGGACAGGACTGTCCTGTCCCACCGCGGATTTCTTGCATGTCAAAACAAATACTGCACTAGGACAGGACTGTCCTGTCCTACCACGGATTTCTTGCATGTCAAAACAAATACTGCACTAGGACAGGACTGACCCGGCACATAAGGCGGCTTCTATGTTGTTGCCCAAAGCGGAGTTAAAAATGCATTCCAAAAATGTCCTAAGTATTGTCGAAATTTAAAAAATAATAAGATTTTCGTGATCAGCGACCCCAAATGTGCAAATTTCACGCAGTGAACGCTATTTAACGCCCGATTACGAAGTTGAATTACATTTTTCGTGTGCGTGTGTGTTTCACCATACAGCCCGTACTAGGCCTAGATCTAGATTGCATCTTGTCTTTTACTTTTATATCTCGATTGCCACCGATGCGACCATCCCCGTCATTTTGGGGGAAACAAAATGACAACACTTGGAAGCAGAAGGAAATGATTTGTGAGGTCACGCATGCGCAAAGCAAAATGTTTTCATGGTCACCCTAGACTGGGGGTCTCCGTGGATCAGGACCCATGTCTTAGAAAACACTTCCAAAAAAGAAGTCAACACACAATAAAGAATGTACTTACTGATTATAGTTTTATATCTCCAGAGTGGAGAAACTTGAGTTGTGATCAAGGCCAGGATAGGTAGGTAGCAGAACCAGACGAGGTAAAATGCCCCGAAATGAATGACAAACGACATCTCATCAATATTTCTGTACCCGTACGTCTGGCGCAGCTCGTACAAGAACCAGAACATGACCACGATCCTGAATGCTAGCGTGGCGTAACCCGGCCATGACTGCCACTCATCTGTGTTGGAGATGATGTTATCAATCTCCACCTAGAGACACAGAAATACACAAAAATAATTATAATATATATACATACATCCATGTATAGATTTTCTTTAAAATTTGCCCAAGATCAGAATTACACTCCTTCAAACAAGTTGAATGCGGGATCGATAACAACGTAAACAAGCTGTGAGTAGTAAGAAAGCAAGGTCTTGTAGTAAATCTTTACTTTTCTCAGCCTGGGTTTAATCTAATCTAAAGCCTCCCTCAACACAGTAAGGTCACGAAAGAGGCATTTTCAACAAAAGAAATTAAATAATTCTATTTCCTTGACATCTTAAAATCCTAACCAAAAAGTTCAGAAAGGACACCGAATACAGGTCCCCCCCCCCTTTTCCCCTTTACAGTCCATAGCCACATAAACCAACAGTTTCTACAAATTAAAATGAGTTAATTACACATTGTGCAAACCAAATGAAAAGCATTGAAGTAGTGCACGTCATTATAACTACGGGGCCACACAAAAAATCAGATAGTTTGAACACCTGTTAAGGTAATTATATGTATTGTCTATATCTATTTTGGATCGCTATCCACATAAATTAGTTCCTTCTATTCTCGATATTGTTCTAAATTTTTTTAAAGACCCAACCCCTTCCCCAATCAACCCTTTAAGCAAACACAGACACAAACAATATGTGCGTACCTATCCATGTAATATCCGATTAGCAAGCAAGTTTAGTCATTGTTTAAGGCCATTGGCCCACATCACATGTTATAAAACACTCATTTGTAGTATAAATTTTCCATAATTATGAAAAAGTATGTCAACAGGTTGTGCACACATATATATCTCTTATCATGAGTCAAACTTTGCATAATTTTGTCACTGGGCCGAGTCAGGCTGGAAGGAATTAACAATTTTCTTTGATGGGCAAAATTTGGACAATAAAAAGAAAAGTGAAATTCATCTTCAATTTCATGAAAGTTACACCTCTCACATAATACATACCAAGTTCCAAATGTACAAGAAGACATTGAGCACTGTGTAAGCCGCCCACAGAGAGAATATCACAGACTTCCACTTGAACTGGTCGGTGGTGATCCCCAGGCCCTTAGCCAGGAGCAGCAGCACCAGCATAAACAAGCAGTGGGTGGCAAGTTCAAGAAGGGTACCCAGCTGGCCCAGCCAGACCGCGCCCACGCCGTTGAAGGCGAAGATACTGACGTGGATTAAGTTCAACGTCACGCTCAGAATCTCCCCGCAGATGCATAACGTGAAGATCTTTGTAATGATGTGGCGTTGCTGCCTGAACACGTACAGCCATAACAAGAGAATGATGATGTACAAGGAGAATGCTGCGACGTGGATCTCAAAAACGTCGTGAAATTCGAAAGAAAATTGGTGCTCAAAGGGATTCAAACCCTTTTCAGAAGGGTTCCCATTGACGAGCCAAATATCGTAGTCAATGACAACACCAGGGTCATTGCTTGGAAGCCATTGGCATTTCCTCTGAGATGCATCTCTGTAGCATGAAACAAAACTTAAGTACCAGAATCTGAAAATGAAAACAATAAAATGTCAGAAAGTAAACACCACGCAGGAAGGAATTTTGTCTCTACATAAATCCAGCCACTAAAGAGAACAACAATGGAACAAGAGCTGTTTCTAACACATAATGATTAATGTATCTATAGGCCCTATATAACATAAAATGCATGAAATGAATTTGTTTCTATTTGAAAGGAACAACACACTCTGAGACAAAAGTAAAAATATAAAATCCTTTTAAAAAAACAGATCAAAATGTTAAGCACTTTATTACAGTATTTTTTAAAGCTGATATCCTTTGACAACCCATTAACAGTCAAATACATTGGAAAGAAGTTTCTTTTTCATTACATTTGTCCAAAATCTTATGACTCACTAGCGAGCTACTTTGCCACACTTTACCAAATGGAAAATCCATGAAGTTATCCCAACCGTGAACAAGGCACAAGGATAGCAGAGAAAAGCTCCCCCCCCCCCCCCCCCAATCATCCATTCAGAACAAAGTCAATAAAAGATAACAGCAGCTGTGGGCCTAGCGATGTCCTTACTTTTATATTTATAGACAGCTTAGTATTAAGGGATTAAAAATTTGAATGGGGGAATGTTGCACAGAAAAAGTATGGAATGGCTCGTAAAGAAAAAGGAAATAAAGTAAGCAGTTTTCACCCATCGAAGTACCAAAGATTTGAGGTGTTAAAGAGAAGCACAAAAAAGGAGGGGATGTAAAGACGATAGATGTTTGATAGGAAAGAAGGAAAGAAGGAGCAAACCACACCAGAGCATCCGCAAACCGTCCACCACGGAAATTTGAATTTGAGGCAAATTTCTACCTGCATTTTGAGTACCCACTCTACCCCTAGTCTCATTAGCATTTTAACCAACTGCATCAGGCCACGTCATATCTTAGCAATACAACGACTGAGAACTTTCACTACTCTAATTGGTGCTCAGTCTGAGCAAATGTTCACAAACATAAAAGAATTGAAATAATGCCAACAAATGTCATGGGTAAAAAATGAGAGCTCTCTACGTTGTGAAATTAGCCCATGTTACATTGCAGTCCAGAGCTAAAGTAGTCCAAGATGTCCATAAATTTTTCTGAAGAACATGAAAGTGACAAGCACATACTTCAGTGCAGACACTCTTTTAGATAAAGCGCTTTACTATGCTGGCAAGCAGCTAGTGATAAAATTGAAGAGTTTTTCTTTCTCTCCAAACAGGTTTTCCAAGCAATAATTTAACACATTTTTATGATAATATTGTTACCGCTTTTCCTTCTTTCTCTACCGTATTCTTCTTACTTACTATACTATTAGTATTAGATAAGATCCCAAGGGTAGTCGACAGCTGGTTCTTCAACCTGCAGTGCAACTGATGCAACCCAACTGCTTTTCCTAGTAGAGGCCTTGCATTCTCATATGATACAGCCACATTCCGATTTTGAAGGACCTCTATGTTTTATAGTGAGTTGACTAAAGTTAAAGTACTTTCAGTGTTGAGGAAATATATTTGAATTTTGCCTGGGTGGTGGCTGAAGCCTACCCTTATCGATTCTAGGACCACCAAAGAATCATTAACATGTGCAATTGGCACTCGGGACCTCTTAGATTTTTCGCTTTATCCGAGAAGGCTCGGTGTTTGATTTTAGCAGCCCTTAGATTAGAGAGGTGGCTGAAAGTCAGCAATAAGGAGCCAGAAGCAACAGTACAAAGAGTTTGGAGTAAAGAAGACAAGACCCCCAGAGGAAAGGGGAAGGGGGACAGAAAGTGAAAATAAAAGAAGAGATGACAGAACAGGACTAGAGAACAGAAAAGGAGGTGAAAGAAAAAATTTGTCCAGTGAAAAGTCACTACGTTGACACAAAAATGGATAGTTGACAGACAAAATGTGTAGACTATATAAATTTTAACTTTCTTAAAGTTTTCTTTTATAGTTGTTTTGTTTTGATATTTTTCGTAACTTATTTTTAAGTCAAAGCGACAGAACACGCATGAGGAATCTATGAAACACGGTGGGGTTGGAGGTCATAATGGTGGTGATGCTAATATCTCTTTACACCAAGGTGCCAACATCTGTTTCTTGTTGGCCCAGGGTAGGAGACATGGGAAGGGGAAAGAGGATTTGAAAGCACACAGAGGGGGGATGGGGGGGGAAGTTGTTGATTCATGTGTGAGGAAGAGAGAGGGGAAGGGGTGATCACATCCACAACAAAAATGACTAATGAAAAACTCACCCTCTCACTCACTGTATATAGCTAATGTTGCATTCCTGAGTACATATTCAACTTCTTTATTATATTATAATCCAGTCTTTTGTCCCTTTCCTTTATTCTCTCAATTGTACAATGTAAACAAACTTTAGATCACTTTTTTTTTTAAACTTTAAAAATTAACTTTATAAGCAAAAAGTTGGCAGACCACCACCTTTTACACACTGTATACACATAATTTTTGAAGAGTAAAAATACTCAATGGAACTCAGACAGAACTTCAGTAAGTGAATGTTACAGCACAGGTACATTTCGAGCAGAATGCTAAATACAGTGGTGTCCACTTACTTTCACAGCAACCTAGTAGTAAAAAAGGCTAGATAGAACAAGGAAAGAGCAACCTCTGCCTACTAGCAACCAAAGCTTTTTAAATATTTTTTTTATAGTAGAGGGTTTTACGGTGCTCCCAACTGCATAAGGTCATATGAGTGCCAAGGGGTGGGTGTCAACAGAGAAGTCTTTACAGGGAATCAGACTTAGACTGCTCACCTCTCTAGCTTCAACAGCACAAGGCCTGCTTCGACTATCAAGGCACCCCAAAATAGCAAGTCACGAGGGAGTGACAAACATACAAAAGAAGTAGAGGAAAATGACAATAGTAAGGATCAGGAAAGAAAAGCAGCAGTTCCCTGTTGTAGATCAGGCACAGTTATGAGCGTGACATGAATCAGCCCATTTACAATTCTACTATGCTTGAAAGAGATATGTCTCCCCTTTGGGAATAGCCTAAAGACACTTCAGTCAGTCAGTGGCACTGCCCCAGGGGGTACCAAAGCTTAGGTAAGAAATTTCTCTATAAAAATAAATCATTATAACCCCCTTTAACAGCAACCTTCCTTGCTATAAATTATCTGACAAACACATTTACAATTCAAAAACAGTGTGACGTGTGTGCCGAGACTGGCCCATCATGTTAGTGAGTGCATGCATCCTTCCTCTCTTGTTTTTCCGCAAAACACCAGCTTGGACCAAAAAGGCAAAAAGCTGAGTACAGGAGCCCACTTTACACATGGCAATGTAGGAAAGAGCCACCTTACTTCTAAGCCTCCCCCGGCCCAGGTGAAAAGTCAAGGCCATTATTGTGTGCGTAACATTACCACCCTACTGTCTTGCTACAGCAACAGCTTACTTTTGCTGCCTACGTTCTTTTTTTCTGACATAACAACATCACCACATCAAGCGATTAGGGCTTAAAAATTGTGCTTGTGTGAGCGGAGTGTCTTTGTCGGAGTGTGTGTGTGTGTGTGTGGGAGGGGGGGGCACAGATTACCCATCCCCTTGAAAATTCAGTTAGCAGTAGCCCCACCTTAGAACAGTGACCAAGGCTTGCTTTCCAAGAGGGTTGCTTTAAGGAGGACCGTACACTACTGTACCGAGGTTTTACTGTGCACGCATGTATGGTGTATTTGGCAGCCAAAAATATACAGGTTTCAACCCTCAATGCACAGCAGGATACTTACAGGCTAAAAAAACAAATGCACACTTGCAACCCAGTGCTGACCACAACACGGGCAAAACTGCAGAACAAAGAGGAATGAGCACATCCCACAAGAATCACAACTAGGGTTTCTCAAGACAATCCTACAGCCTACAGGGAGCAGTATAATTACAGGGAGGGAGGAGTGGCAAGTTGAAAACGAGAAAGAAGAACAATCTCAACAACCCAGGATTGTTTTAATGATGAAGGGTATACAGACCCGGCAACTGGGAACAACAAAGTCACGAAGTATACAGACCCGGTAGGGGAAATCTTTCGTGATTTCGGAAAGTTTCAGCGCCCAGACCCAGTAGAGAGAGAGAGAGAGAGAGAGTGTGTGTGTGTGTGTGTGTGTGTGTGTGTGTGTGTGTGTGTGTGTGTGTGTGTGCGTGTGTGTGTGTGTGTGTGTGTGTGTGTGTGTGTGTGTGTGTGTGTGTGTGCGTGCGTGTGTGTGTGTGCATGCATTTTTGAGGAGAGAGAGAGGAGGTAGAGAACAGGGGGAAGTGCTAGAGCAGCTAATATCACACATGTATGCCCAAGTTGACAGGCGGGAATGAGAGAAAGATAAAGTGGGAAAGTAGGTGGAGGAAGAAAGAAAGACAGAGTTAAACAAAGAGAAAGAGAAGGCGAGCGATACACAGAGGAGAGAGACAGAGAGAGAAAGAGGGGGCAGGCAGAAAATGAGAAGAGATAGACAGAAAATAGAGAGGGTGACTGCTCGATTGAAATTATGACATTGTTTCTTTTCTTCAAATTGTCTCATTGATTCCTCCAACGGAGGAAAATCGATTGTTTATCGAAAAGACATCCCCAATCTTCATTTACATCTAGGCCTCGAAACTAGATGATTTATGACTGTCTGTCCAGATTTAGATAGATCTAGGCCTCAGATTTAGAAGAACCTAAGTCTACCCTGAACCAAGAGGGTGCTGAAACTTTCCGAAATCACAAAAGATGTCCCCTACCAGGTATGTATACTTCCAAGGACTTTGTTCCTGGTTACCAGGTCTGTATGTATACACTCCCTTGTCAATATGGACTACCACAAAATTAGGAGATTATAACTCATCATCATGAAGTATTGAGATCAGAGAACAGAGAGGATTGGAAAGGTCTGGGTAAAGGAAGAGGCTAGCCGTACTTAATTACGGCTAGACTGGCAGTCTAGCCGTACTAATTCTAAATATGATGGCTAGACTGATCATTTTTTAAAAAATAGGCCTACTGAATTGTAAATATAAATTTTTTGTGTGCAGTACCTAAAGTTTGTATTTGAGACGAAACCAGGTGCCTTAATGATAGTGCATGTATTTTAAACCTCCTGTTTTCTAATGTTATTAGGGCCTAAAATAAGTACGGGTAGACAGCCAGGCTAGCCGTACTTAATATTGATGGCTGAATTGTAAACGAAATTTTTAGTTTGCAAAGCCTAAAGTATTTGTATTTCAGACAAAACCAAAAGGTGCCTTACTGACTTGCATGTACTTGAACCTGAATAATTACTAGATCTAGATCTAATGAGACCTGTGTACTTAACAGGCTCCAAGAGTCGATAGAGCCAAACCAAGATCTAAGTACGGCTAGACTGGCAGTCTAGCCACTTCGCTGGGTAAAATTAACTTGAAACTTTCACAGTAACACTAACATGCAAAAATGCATTTATTCGTCTGTTTGAGGGGGGCTTCGCTGACATTGGCTGCAGAAAACACAAGGCACAAGGGGAGGGGTGAAGGAGAGTTCCAAGGGGGAGGAGGGGGAGGGTCATGGAATCCCAAAACTTGTAAATCAAATGTTTTCGAAAATCCCCCCCCCCCCCCCCCCTGAAATCCTAAGAATTTGACAAAGGTAGTGTCATTTGCCACCGAGTAAATTGGAACTCTTTTGCGTTGGTGGGTGGGTAGATCTAGCTTATTGTGCTCGAGTGCTCGGTGTTGTGCGTTCGCCTCTCTGACCCTCTGTGACCTGTGTGTGTGTGTTTGTGTGTGTGTGTATGTGTGTACAATGTGTGTGTGTGTGTGTCTTTTCCTGACCCAGTCCGCCGATTTATGTTCCCCGATATAACGTGAATTTCTGCTTGAGTTTGTGTGCGTTTGTGACCTTCTACTTCTACAACTGCCTGTGTTGGTTCTACACCAAAGTGTAGGCTAAGGCTAGCCTAGATCTAGGCCTATGTCTAATTGAAAACACGCCAAGTTGGTACCGTAGCTCTAGACTAGATGCTCGTCCAATGAAATTAGTTGAGGACAAATTGACCCATTAGACACACATTATGTATTGCTAAAGATAGTGTTGTTTTGAGACTTGACACTGCTTCACTCGGTGGCAATTGACTAAAAGTCAATTTTTGTCAATTGCCACCGCGTCACTTGGTGGCAACTGATGCTACCTTTGACTTTGACAAAACACGCAAAATATGAGGCCCACTGACCTGTAGAATTTACAAAAATATATCAAATATCTCAAAAACTATTTTTATTTAATAAGTTTGCGACAAACTTGTGAAGTCAGTGTAAGACAGAAAAAAATGAAAAGTAAACATTTTTAAGAAAAGTCTGAGAAAAGTAGATTCTAGATCTAGAGTCTAGAATCTAGATCTAGATTCTAGATCTAGATCTAGATTCTAGATCTAGATCTAGAATCTAGATCTAGCTTGTTCTGAACATGAGACAGGAGAAATTCGTAAAATTTATCAAGGTCTGGTTGCCATGCCATTTGGTGTCCCCATGTATGGTCAAAAACCACTACACAGTCACAGAAGACTAACAGAGAACAGTTTGATTTCGGAGAATCTAACAAAGTAACATCATATTGACATGTCACAGATCTAGACTAGATCTAGATCTAGAATCTCTAGACTCTAGATCTAAATCTATATGAATCTAGATTTCTAAATCTCTAGATCTAGATTCTAGATATCTAGGCCTTAAACGTCACTAACAACTTACAATATCTAGACTAGAGATTCTAATAATTCTAAATTAAACTGCCTTACCTTGGCCTCTGTACATCTCTAACTTTGTAAGTGAACTGGTAACTGGGCACAACATTAATAGGGTTGTCTTCATCTACACAAAGTTTATCTTGTGGACAAGGAATTTTCCTGAGAAAGTCTTCTAAACCCTTTGGCTTGCAAATCGAATCAAACGCAATTGTGTCAATCTTCTCAAGCATTGCTGGACAAGCAAGGGCTGGGGGGAGGGTCCGATTCCCATAAAACTCCAAGAAATATTCACTGTCAACAACAACTAGCAACGCGTCCTGAATTTCACTAGAAACAACAGATAAGGTTATATTCCCATAAATAAATCCTTGTGTGTTTTCCTGGTCCTTTGGGTCTGTTTTCTGAAAGCCGAACTTAGTCAAAAATTTGAAAACGTCCTTGCTGTTCCAAGATCCTTTCAAATGAAGAGCGGACGAGTTTGAAAGAAAGACTAAAAAGAACATAAGTAAACACCATCGCTGCGCCATCCTTGAACCCCGGCTCTTTTGAGGAGAAGTCATGCTCATGATAGAAAAGGTGTTCTGTGTCGTGTTTTGAATCCCTAGGGCTCTCCCTTGACTTCAACGAACGGATGCTTGCCCATCGATATCATCATGACTCATAGGCCCTAGTCGCCATCTTGAGGTCTGTGTTGTGGAGACTGTCATGTGACTTGGAAATTCTGGCCTAACAATAACTTCTTCGTGGAAGTCGTATTTGGCTATTTTCAGCCAATGAGACCTGCTGACAAAAGAATAATGATAAGAATAGATAAGGGGAAATCTTTTAAACATAATCAACGTTTTTAAATTGAAAAAAAAACAAAAAAGCGATACGCGTGTCTTCCAGTGAAATCTTCGGTTCAGCTGTTTGACGAGACTCCATCAGTCAATGCGTACACAGCAAGGAGGTTATTAGTAGTAAGAAAGGTCCTTGGTACACAATTAACACTCGGCAAGAACTGAGGCAACGATGTTTCTATTTGTGACTTGACGAACACAGTCGCGTGGTGTTGTCGCTACTTTCGGATAAAATTTCGAAGTTATGCGCTAAAGATGTGTTATTGACATTGTTTACGTTGTTAACTGTTTTTGAAGTCGCTGTAATTGTTGTTTTAGTCGCGATGAAGATGATGATGATGATGATGATGATGAGGATGATGATGATGATGATGATGATGATGATGATGATGATGATGATGATGAAATACCTCCTTTACCAGTCCTTTCCCTCTATAATATCGTCACTGTCGCGGCACAGTGATAGATGATCGATATTTTTGCTAGTTTAAATTTGAGCTAAAGCGATTTATTAATGATTTTACAGACATTCAAATCTCTCTTAATCGGCCGGCCTTTCTAGCGATTCTTCTTTCTTTTATAGGGTGAAGTATTTTTTCCATCCCAGGTTCATTGGATAGCGAAATTAGAATCCATTAACTCCCATACGAATAGTTTGAACAGCGTTATTTCTTTTAAAGGATTTGTAAACTATTTCGTTCAATATTTCTCAACATTTAAGGTGATTCATTCAATATTTCTTAAAAGCTGATTTTTCATTTTCCATTTTTTTCCACCATGTCTCGGATAACTGAAAATGTTTTGGCCGAGGGATAATGTACGCAGTTACTTGAAAATACAATAGACATGTTTATTTTTAGCTGCGAACAATTTAAGGGTAGCAAGCTCTTGTACATATCCAGCTTGACTGTGCACAAATTGACCTGAGCTTTTATATACATTGTATAGTTATTTATGTATTGGTTGATTATTTTATAATTTTATGTTCGTGAAAATAAAGGACCACATGCAAGTTTCCATAAATGATAAGGTTTAGATTCAGAGTAATTGTTGGGAAAGTAAGTATGCTACAGTAGCCTAATACATGTAGTATGTAGGCCTAGTTTCTTTTTTTTAACCGTTCAGTTTTTGACATAGATCTAGGCCTATATTAGGCCGAACTATTAAAAAGCTATTATATACGCCTGCCATTTTTCTTTAGGATACAACTGTGCATGGTGATGTTTAATTATCCGACATTGTGCAAAATGAACGCCTGCTAACGTGTATGCCCTATTATTATTTACTCGTAAAAATTAGAAAAATCCATACCTCAACAGCGTCAATATGACACACAGAAATTATTACCTAAATATTGCATATCTGCGTTCTTACAATCCTTTAACCCATTCTTAACACTTCATGAAAGCACCTGGCTGCTTTCAGCTGCGTTATCAGAGCCTCCGTTACTTTCTTTGCATTTATAGCACAATAGTATGTTGCAATTTCTTTCTTTCTTAGTAGTGCCCGGACTGGGAACCTGTCATGACCTTTGTATCTGAAGGCATCAGATCTTCATTCCCTCTCCCCCCGCCCCTCCCCTGGTCTTTGTTTCTGATAGTATATTGTCCCTCTCTATTCCCCCTCCCCCACCCCCTCCCAAACCCTTTGCTTGTTGAAGTCAGAACCCAGTCACAAAAATAAGCTATGTCTACATGCTAACCTTATCCACCACCCCACCCACCCCCTCCTCATGGCCTCTCGTATCCCACAGGCTCAGGCGACCAAAGGGCACTTGACTTTTCCAAGGAGCCTCTACAGGCTAGAGGCGCGGGAAGGAGAGAGCTGCTCAACTCTCCTTCGACAGATAAGCTGCCCCGTTTGAAATCAAAAGTTAACTATCTGAAATACTTGGGTTGTGAAATTACATTAGATGGAAAATGTACATCAGAAGTCCAAACACAAAAAGCCACAGTCAAATAATATACAAAAAGCTGAACCCGATCATGTTTAGGAACATTACATTGGCTTTTTTATTTTTTTTTATTTTTGGTAAGTGTTTTACGGCGCTCGTAACTGCACAAGGTCATATGAGAACGCGGGACACATTAAACTTTTTCAGTTGGTAGGAAATTTTCAATTTTGCCCGGGTGGCGGCCGAAGCCTACTCTTATCGATTTTAGACCACCAAGGGATCTCGCAACTTGCACACGGGCCCTCGAGATTTTTCGCCCTTGTCCTGGAAGGCTAGGTGTAGATCTTTCCTACCAGAAGATCAGGGGTGTGGCTGAAAGACAGCAGTAAGAAGAAGCCAAGGAGTAGCAATAGAAAGGCTGTAGAAAGAATCAGGAGCCCAGAGGAGAGGGGGCAAAGGAGATGAGGGAGTGGGGGCAGAAAGAGGAGACGAAAGCAGACGACAGAACATTGCTAGAGAGCAGGAAATGGCTTTAACACTCAGAGTATTGACAATGTACATTTGACCAGACACTCTTTTATATGGACAGGAGTGTTGGACCCAAAAAAAATCCCCCCAAAATGATATTATTATCAAAGGGAAAAAAACATACTGAAATATGGTTCAACAAATTAATCCTTTATGAGGGCCTCGATAGGCGGAGGAGAATGGAAAACTATATAACCGCCACTGTCAACTCTAGACAAAAAAAAACAACCCAATGATGATTATTATTGGAGCCCCCAGAAACCTGTTTGTATAGATCTATTTGTTTTTCGTTTCTGTTTTTGTTGTTGCTGTTGGGGTTATTTCTTTTGTTCCACCCCCCCACCCTCCCCCCTTCCACGCACACACTTCACTGGCATGTTGATTGTCCACGCTTCGCTCAACTGATTTGATGATTGTGTTACAAAATGTTGCTGAGTTGCCTAGTTATTTATTTGAGTGATGTTACTCTCTCTCTGTCCCTGTCCCTGTCCCTGTCCCTGTCTCTGTCTCTGTCTCTCTCTCTCTCTCTCTCTCTCTCT